CATATCCCAATAGTGCTGATTCTCCTACTGATTAAAATTCTGGCTATCTCAGCCTTGAATGTACGCAATGACACAGCCTCCACAGCCCTCTGTGGTAAAGTATTTCATGGATTCACAATCCTCTGAGAGAAGATAATTGACCCCCATCTCTGTCTTAAATGTGCGACTCCTTTTTTCTGAGATTATGACCTCCGGTCCTAGACTCTCAAGCCAATGTTACAGCTAGATGAGCAGAATGTCAGCAAAATGGAAGTGCGGACGTTTCTAAGGCAGAGGACGATGAGGAGAGGGGGTGGTGCGAAAGGAATGAAAGAGAAGATTTGCGACTGGGCGGAAGGCAGGAGAGATTAAATAATAAAACCATTTCATGATGCAACAGTTAAACAAGTGGCAATGAAAATAGTGAATAAACAAAGGAGGTGTGAACTGCCACATAAAACAACACAAAACTTTGATGCAACATAAAGGCATAGGAAAGAAGAAAGTCCGAAACTAACTCAATGGGTTATCTCCTGCCACTGCACTGTGGCAGGAAGTCTGGAACCGGAAGTTAGTGCCATAGGTATAATCAGCACTCCAATTCCCCCCTCCAGTTTTTGCCCACTCCATGCTGTAGTCAGCCCTGTGGGAAAATGCCCCAGAGTTACATTCACTTTGTCTTTATTCTGGTTATCCTTAAATTACTGGAACAAGCCCCACTCGCTCTCACTGGCAGTGGGAGTGCGGGCTTGCAGCGGTTCAAAAAGGCAGCCCACCACCACCTTCTGAAGGGCAAGGGATTGGCAATATAATGCTGGACCAGCCAGCGACACCCATGCCCCACTAGAGAAGACAAAGAAACCGCTGCAACTGGATGGGTGGCAAGTGCTCCCCTGCAATTCCTGGGCAACAATCATAGCCACAGAATAAAGGGAAAGGGGGAAGAACAAACACATTAACCAAGGTGGAAGCAGAGGTGCTGGTCCAACTTTGTAGAACTCAATGTTGTGTCCAGAAGCCTTGCGAGTGGCTGCAAAGTGGAGAACGAGTCCTCTTGGGGAAGTCCAGCTTGGAGCATCTGCAGGCTTGTGGCTCAAGAAAGGACTGTAATGTTTGACATTTTAACTTTATTTCTTTTCTGCTTTATGCTAAGAAGACTGTAGTGCTGAACTTTTAACTTATTTCTTCATTTGTCTATTTCTGTAACTAAGACTTTGTAACTAGGTAATTTGTAACGTCTGTAACTAAGATGCTGCGTGTGGCAACTTTGTATATTTTTCTCTGTCCTCTTGTACCTTGTACTTGAGTACACATGACAATAAAATCTAAATCTCAATCTAAAAGCTTAAATGTAAGAAAGCTCCAGAGAGCCGAATCAAAAAATGAGACAATGAGACAAGCCACTAATATCCATTACAAACCCACCGACTCCCACAGCTACCTGGACTATACATCCTCACACCCCACTTCCTGTAAAGACTCCATCCCATTCTCTCAGTTCCTCAGATGAGGCCAATTTCGATGAGGGAGCCTCCGAAATGTCCACATTCTTCCTCAACTGAGGATTCCCCAGCTCCGTTGTCGACAGGGCCCTCAATCGGGTCCGACCCATCTCCCGCACTTCTGCCCTCACCCCTTCTCTTCCCTCCCGCAACAGCGAAAGGGTTCCCCTTATCCTCACCTACCATCCCACCAGCATCCACATCCAGAAGATCATCAGATGCCATTTCCGCCACCTCCAGCAAGATGCCACCACCAGACACATATTCCCCTCCCCTCCCTTGTCCGCCTTCCGCAGGGACCGTTCCCTCCGGGACACCCTAGTCCATACTTCCTTCACCCTCAACACCTCCCCACAGCCCTACGGCACCTTGCCCTTAACCGGCGAAGGTGCAACACCTGCGCATTTACCTCCTCCCTCCCCAGTATCCAAGGGCCCAAACATACCTTCCTGGTGAAGCAACACTTCACCTGCACTTCCAAGAATCTAGTCTACTGCATTCGCTGCTTACAATGTGGTCTCCTCTACATTGGGGAAACGAAGCGTAGACTTAGCGACTGCTTCGCAGAACATTTACGTTCTGCTCGCAAAAAAGACCCTGAACTACCTGTTGCCTGCCACTTCAATGCACCACCCTGCTCCCTGGCCAACATCTCTGTCTCTGGCTTGCTACAGTGTTCCAGTGAAGCCCAACGCAAGCTGGAGGAACAGCACCTCATTTTCTGCTTGGGGACCCTACAGCCCTCCGGACTCAATATTGAGTTCAATACTTTTAGGGCCTGAATTCTCCCATGTCCCAGCCCCCACCACACACACCAGGCCTTGTTACCACATAGCCTGCCACTACACACCCCCTGTTGTTAGTCACTAACAGTCCCCATTAACAACTATTCACCCTCCCAGCCTGATCATTAGCAACTCCTTTGTCTGTCCAACTGTCTTTCTCTCTCTTTGGGCTCTATCCTATCGTTTACTCCCTACCCCACCCACCTCCCTATTTTCTGCACATAAACTGACGTTTTCCCAGCCGCCATCAGTTCTGAGGAAGGGTCATGGGACCCGAAACGTTAACTCTGTTTTCTCCTCCACAGATGCTGCCAGACTTACTGAGCTTTTCCAGCAACTTTGTTTTCGTTCCTGAGACAATCCTTGCCCTTCTTTCATTGGAATGTCGTGGCGGGAGAAGTACAGAAAGGTCAATGTGGGAGTCAGACGGAGAATCGATTTGACAAGCCACTGGAAGTTCAGGGTCATGCTTACTGACTGAGCAGGAGGTTCAGTACAAAGCAGTCATCCTGATTGCGCTTGGTGTCCTCAACGTAGAGGGGGCCACTGCGATCCTCATCTTCCAGATAGTCGGAGACTGGACGCTGACAAATATATCATGGGGTCTCTTGGAAGCAGCCCCCTCCGCCCCTGTGCATGATCAGGTGGTAATTGCCCAAGAAGCTGAAACTTCCAGCAGGCAATTATCCAGCATCTGAGAATGTCCTGACTCTGTTAGAGTTGGAGAATTCAGAGGGTTCCAACTCACTTAACGGTTACACAGTAAGATTTCAAGGAATTAAAGCTTCCTCTAACTCACACCAAGACAGCCCAAATCATTTGCACCAAGCCTTCCTTCACTGAGAATATCCTTCTGGATAGCTGACCCCCATCAGCTGCCTCCCCCCATCCACAAACACTGACACTCTTCCACCCAAAACCCCACCTCACCCTGGGCACTCAATCCAGCCCTGACAATGATGGGAGGTGATGGTCCAGTGGTATTATTGCGAGACTATTAATCCAGAGACCCAGGTAATGTTCTGGGTCCTGGGTTCAAATTCTGCCTCAGCAGAGAGTGGAAAATGAATTCAATAAAAATAAAATCTGGAATTAAAATGCTAAGGATGACCATGAATCCATTATTGATTGTCAGGAAAAACCCATCTGGTTCGGGAATGTCCTTTAGAGAAGGAATATGCCATTCTTACCTAGTCTGGCCTACATGTGACTCCAGACCAACAGCAATATGTGGTTGACTCTTAACTGCCGTCTGGGCAATGAAGAATGGGCAATAAATGCTGGCCTACCCGCTGATGCTCACATCCTATGAATGAATCTAAAAAAAAAGCCTTGTACACCAAACCATCCCACTGATACCCAACGAACGCTTGATTCACCAGGACACATGACCGCCCACCTCCTCCCAGCCCCTTTTCCTACCTCCCCACCCCATTAAATACCAAATGAACCACCTGACACCCAATCACATGCCCAGACCTGATACCTCCCAACATCTGGCTCATCCTGCCCTCTGACTCACATCTCTGACACTTGACTGCCACCAGCCCAGCTAACTTCTTCACCAACTTTGCACTGAACCCCATCAGCCACCAGACACTCTACAGCTCCGCCACATCTAAAGCAAACCCACCCATTGTTTTAATCCATTTACGTGCCACCCTACCCCTTATCCAAACGGTGCCTTTACCCACCTAGCACCCTGATGCCTCACCCACTTAACTCAAACCTCCTTAGTCTCCTTGGCAAAGAGTCTCTGGGACATTTGGGCAGCTGTAAAAAAGAGGCTTGATCTCCCCTCCAGCTCTGATCCAGCACTCTGCTGGAAGGTTTTATGAATGTATGTGGTTCCCATTACTGAAGAGGTGTAAATCAGACATTCAGGCCAGAAAAAAAAACGAGAGCTGCAGGCCAGAATCAGTAAAGAGGAGCAGAGTAGCTAGATGAGTATAATTACCAAACCTTGGATGAGTTGGCCCATTGTGAGCTGTGAATATTGGAGATTAAATTGACTGGATGAGTAAATCAATATTTGTCTGTTTCTCTGCATTGCTGCAGATGCTAAAAGTTGCATACACTGATCGTCAGCCATAAAAAAAATCCCTCAAATTCCAGACTATTATATTTAAGCAACTGCAGACATGGTTGACATTTTTTTTTTGTGTGAGCTAATAAAGCACATGGGGACTTAATGATATAACAGTTTGAATTTAAGGGTATTAAAGTTTTCACCACTGAACGCCAGCCAATCTGTTGGATGGGATTGTCCACTTCTTATGAACTTGTCCATTGTCCAAATGGATCAGAAATCAGGGTTAGACTGTCAAGGTGGGGTGATCGACTCTGCAATGATGACAGCAAATCTACCTCAATGCACCCAAACCATTTTCAAACCAAAGCAATCATAGGAAATATGTTTCTGAAGCATTAAGGAGCATGCAACATAATAAAGCAAAGGACTGCAGATGCTCAAGATGTGAAACAAAAACAGAAATTGCTGGAGAAACTTGGCAGGTCTGGTAGCATTTGTGGAGAGAACACAGAGTTAACCTTTTGAGACTTGTTCTGAAGAATGGTCACTCAACTCAAAATGTTAATCCAGTTTTTCCCTTCACAGATGCTGCCAGGCGTGTTGAGTTTCGCCAGCAATGTTTGTGTTAGTTTGAGAAGCATGTGATATTCCATTTCGCTTCCCCAGCTAATTAAAAACAAATAAATCTTCAAGTTGTCTCACCTCATGTGGAGGAAAGGCAGCATCATATGTTCCGTTGCTCAGTAACCTATTCAAACCTGAAGAAAAGAGAAACATCCAATTATTTGCTGAGCAAGGAGAGATTGAAATTTCAGACAGTACACTCATCAACAAGTTGGTTATCCATTTGCTGGCATCAGTTAGCTAAAGATAGACTTTTCATTGGCATCACTTTAAACTAGGGTTTGACCTTTCATGGCAGGAAATACAGACTGGAACTGTTTCCAGGTCGCAGACCTATCAATGAAGCAAAAGGTCAGCACCCCGAAGTTCATGGGGGCACACCCCAGGTTGTCCTGCAGATGGGATGATTGCCCAATGAAGGATTCTTTGAGTTGAGGAACCAATCAGAGGCTGGGAGAGAAATCAGAAATCAGGAAGCCAATCAGAGAATGAGAGATTAAACACAATCTGGGAGACCAATCAGAAGCTAGGTGACCAATCAGAGGTCAGGAAACCAATCAGAGGATGGGAGACAAATCTGAGGCTAGGCGGCCAATCAGAGATTACGAGAGCAATCAGAGGTAGGTGTCACAACAGGCTGTAATGGAAGGGAAGTGAGGGAGAGGGCACTTAAAGGATGGTGGAGCCCCTGACTCTTTGAAATTAAAAGCAATATTGTTCAGTTTCAACAGTAGCTTTAAAACAGAATTGGTAGTTTCACATGTGCAAAATGGTGGTGAGGAGGAGAAAAGAGGGCAAGGGGAAGAGGAGGGAAAGACGAGGACAAGGAGGAGGAGGAGGAGGAGGAGGAGGAGGAGGGGAAAGGGAGGAGAAGAGGAGGATGAGGTGAAAAGAAGTAGGAGGGGATTGAAGTGAAGGGGAAGCAGAGGAGGGGGTGAGAAGGATGGGAGGAAGAGGAGTGGAGAGAAGATGGGGGCGCAGGGCATTCCTTGGGGCATTCTGACACCAAGCATGTAATCAGGAAGGATCGGCAGCTTTTCCGAGGATCTGAAACTGAGCCCACATAGGGAAACCTGGAGGTCAACAGGGAACTCCTTTCTAAGGCCTTAATATGCTCTCGTTGAGCCATTTCTACAGTCCATGGGTGGAGTAGCCAGCATCCAAATGCCCCATTCCAGAAAATGGTCTAGAATGCAGATTGAGCAACGGGGGCCAGCGGAGTGAGTTTTAGATCTCAAGAGCCTTGGCAGGGATTCAAAACACTTTTCTAAGTCCCCCACCCAACCCGGCTACATGTGCCTACCCTGTCTTTCCTTCCAATCCATACCCTGGCATATAATGGAACCATGCCTGGAGTGGTCATTCACTGACCCCCACAGTGAATCTGATGGGTTACTGATCATTAATAAAGCCCCTCCCTCTTAATACCTTTTTTCACCCTGCAGTACAGTCTGTCCCACTTTGAAATCCTGCTTCCCGCCCCGCTTCACAAGTGCACTGAGCCTTGCCCCAGAGCCTGCAGCCCCCAAATGACTGAAGTCTGTGGCTCAGAGCTGAAGTTTCCTTGACTGAGAAATGCTCCCGACCACATGTCCGACAATGGCCAATCCCATGGACTGTAATGAGAGGCTGCCCCTGCCTGATTCTGTCGGGAACCCTGACAGGCAGGTACATCTGATGACTTCATTGCTTGCTTGCTGCACATCCTGTGTGTTTGCTGCTGTGGTTCCTGACAAATTGTTGTTGGAAAAGCTCAGCAGGTCGGGCATCATCTGTGGAGAAAAAAATCAGAGTTAATGTTTCAGGTCCGGTGACACTTCCTCAGAACTGCATGTTCTGAAACGTTAACTCTGATTTTTTTCCTTCAAGAATGCTGCCAGATCTGCTGAGCTTTCCCAGCAACTTCTGTTTTCATTCCTAGTTTACAGCATCCGCAGTTCTTTCGGTTTTTATGACACATAAAGTAGGCCTGATATCAGCATGGCACAAGGCCGTACAGTAAGAAGTAGACTCCCCCGACAGCTGAGGACTGCTGAGCATCAAGACAAGCTGTCTGGCTGTGTGACTGTGGCAAGGCTGGGATGCTGTGAAAAGCAGATAGGTGTTGAGTCAGCAAACATTAACAGAGCATCCCCGAGCTACAGCCTGTTCCAAGTCTATGAGCTGGGAGTCCCTGTGTGCAAAGAGTCCCTGCTGCAGCCTTTCAAGACAAGTCATTGGTGAGCCCTGCAATGCAGGTCTGTATTTCCAGACCAAACTCTCAGAGAATGGGACAAGTTCCAGACGGCCATGATGGATGGACAGGTGTCAGATTCCTGTATCTCTGGAGGAAGAGTGAGTGCAGCCTGTGATTTGTGACCTGGACTGCGGTTTGGTTACAGCTCACATCGAAGTGGTTCAGAGCAAGCAGCAAGCAGAATCTGGTCTACTTTCCTTGTCAGGTTTTTCCTAATATCAAGCTTGGTATCACCAGAAGCTGAATATTAAAACGGTTAATTGTGGTATTAACAAGGCACTCAACAAGCAATGATCCCTCTTGACTTCCGAGACAGAATCTCACTACGTCGGCTTGTGAAAGCATAAAAGATGGAAAGAGCTGATCTTGATGTTGATTTGGACCGTGCCGTCCGTGTCACCTGATTCTGCCACGCATCTCACCATACCCACATTGCTCAGATCCCAGGGTATGGGATCATCCTCAACATTGGAACCTCGGCTGAATGTAACTTTGCCTTTTTATTGTTATGGAGTTTCATTTTTCTGTATCTTAAGCTTTTTATTAACATTGATCGTAAGATTCTGCAAATAATAATTGTTTAACTGCTATAGTAGGGTCTCAATACTTAGTTATAACCCTGACAATAGTCCCAAAGACCTGTGCATTAACTAGCTGCTGTTCATCATGCTTCGTACAATGGATTATTTCTCAAATGTCAGAGCAACCTGCCATTTTTATTGCTATAAATACTTTGCCACTCAGAGTAAATATGGAAACCAACTTAAATGTAAAATAAAGGCTATGCTTAAACTCATAGGTTTAGCGATAGAAAAGCAGAGCTCAGTGCTAACATCAATAAAAAATGAGAGGACCGGCACTCTGACTTCTTTGCTATCTCAGATTATCCAGGTCACTGGATAGCCTTCGCCTACTCATTTATTGGTCTCCAGGTTTGATATTTGAAAGTTCATACGGCAGCACAGGATATAGTTCTGCTGTTCATTCCTGGGTATTCACTCCATTTATCAAGAAATTGAGCTGGCAGAGGGATACTCTGTTCTACAGAGTTTCTCTAATGAGAGTGTTACTCAACCCAATACTTGTTGTTAGAACCCAGAATCCCAACATCTATTTTGTAACAAATACACACTCACACATTTCTCCTGCCCGAAACAACAGGAACCCAGAGTCTCAGAACCTTCAGCACCATATGAATATACATATCGGTCAGTGATTTTACACATAGGACGGTTAGAATTCTTTCATGCGATTACAACTTTGGCCCAGTTACAAAAGAAATTCTATACTGCTAAAAACACAATATCTACTCAATTCATGTAGAATTTAAACAGCCAGATGTTTTATATTAAACTACAATTAACTCCCACTCTCTTTAAGGTGCTGACCAAGGTAGGGCGCAGTTACAAAGTTACAAAATACTGTCAGAAAGTAGCCCATTTGATTGCCACCACATCCATTCCCTCCATTACCAATGTTCCGTAACAGCAGTGTGTATTATCCACAAATGCACTGGAGATTCACTAACGCTCCCTGGGCAGCACCTTCCAAATCCACGGCCACAATCATTTAGAAGGACGAGTGTAGCAGATACATGGGAACGCCACCACCTGCAAGTTCCCATCCAAGTCACTCAACATCCTAACTTGGAAATTTCTGTTCCTTCAATGTTGCTGGCTCAAAATCCTGGAACTCCATCCCTAACAGCATGATGTTTCTATCTACACCACACAGACTGCAGCAGTTCAAGGGGGCAACTCACCACCACCTTCTCAAGGGCAATTAAGGATGGGCAATAAATATCGGCCCAGCCAGAGATATTCACATCTCGTGAGTAAACAAAAATTCATAAGACAAGACGCAATTATCACTGATAGTAGGAACTGCAGATGCTGGAGAATCTGAGATAACAAGGTGTAGAGCTGGATGAACACAGCAGGCCAAGCAGCGTCAGAGGAGCAGGAAAGTGGACGTTTTGGGTCTGGACCTTTCTTAATGGAAACGTCAGCTTTCCTGCTCCTCTGATGCTGCTCGGCCTGCTGTGTTCATCCAGCTCTACACCTTGTTATCTCACAATTGTCACTGATCCACAAATGTATATTTTTGACCAGGTTAACTGGATGAAGATCAGAAGAGGTTATCAGACTGACCTTTTATTTCAAACCTGGCTAAACCAGCTCCCTTTTATTTTCAGTGGCTCACCATGACATTGAAATAACATGCCTTCCTGATGCGGGATCGCAACGTATGATGTGTTCACACAACAAGTGAGATTGCACTCACTTGGAGATAGCAAGAACTGCAGATACTGGAGTCAGAGTCAATACAGTGTGGAACTGGAGGAACACAGCAGGCCAGGCAGCATCAGAGGAGCAGGAGAATCAATGTTTCAGGTCGGCACCCTTTATCAGGAATGAGATTGCTAATATGCTGCAACACTTTTTTGGTGATCGGTAGGTTGTTCACAGAGAAACCATCCCTGTGCTACAATTTAAAAATAATGACTGAATTAAAACTTTACCCATTTTGGATTTTCCATCTTCATATTTTGTCCTTTGTAACATGTGATGCACGATCCTGCTCCTTGTTGAATTACTGAAAAATGTGTCTTTGTTGTTTATGGTGAAGCTGAAGAAGGTTTTAATGAAGAAAAAAAAGAGAATGTAAAAGTCCGCATTGAAATTTTGCACATCAGTAGAGTAACAAGAGGTAATAGTATAATCGAGGGGCTTAACCTAAAACATAAAAGAGAAGGTGAGAGACACAAGTTAATGTAGACCGTTCTAACTTCTCACACTTCTGTAAGTTTACACCATTAATGCAAATTAATGCTATAAATTTATTTTGAAATTCCATTTATATAACATACAGGTGTTTGTGACATACTTACTGATGCATGCGTGCTCTACTGAATGGTGCAGTGTAGCAATCAGTCTCTTCCAGATCTGGTAGAGCCTCTTTATCGAGTTTCATTGGGTTTCTTGGCAACCAACTCTTCAGCTGTCGTAGATTCCTCTGAACACTAACAGAAAAATGCCAAACTACTGATGTTTAAAACTACATGCACTTAAATAATCCTAGAATATTCAAATTCAATTTCAATAGTTTGCTAGGCCATTATCATGTCCAGGTTTCCAAGAGATGTATGTGAATCCAGCATCGGTTCACTCATAAAAGATAAAATACTGCAGATAGTCTGGAAATTCAAATCAAATACGGGGAATGCTGGAGAAACTCAGAATGTCTGGCATCATCGGTGGAGAGAGTTAACATTTTGAATCCGGTAAGACTCCTCTTCAGATCTACTTCTGTTCTGAGGAAGAGTCATACTGGACTCGAAGCATTAACTCAGTTTCTCTCTCCACTGAAGCTGTCCTACCTGTTGAGTTTCTCTAGCATTCTGCATCAGTATTGACTCATTATTTGATTTTAATTCCACAAAGTATTGCAGACCAGAACTTTTATTCTCACTAAATACCAGAATAGAAATTATTTTTGCAATCATAACCAATCCAAGCAAAGTATGTTAAATATTTATTGGATGTGTCATCTTATTAAGTTTTTCTTGAAGTCTTGCTGACACAATTAGATTTGGACTTTGCCATAACTAATAATAATTCATTTCAAAATAATTGATTATAATGTTTGTCTTTGTATGAATTACATGGCTGCATGAAATAATTGATTAGCAAATGCCAGAAATATTTTTCTGGCAGTGTTATTGGGATTCCTGTAAATATTGAGATAAACCAGCTTGTTAATCACATGATGAATCTAGGTCTTGTGAGAAATCATCACCTTATGGTTTTTGTACAGTAGATTGTTCAATGTGATTTGAAATTGAAGTTAGGAAAAATACTTCTCACATGAACTTTACTTAAGACCATTGATAAGATAGATTCAGAAAGTTTAATTTGGAAATGGATAGAATGCAAAAGGGGCAATTAATTTGCCAAAGGCTGAAAATTAAAAATGTGTGGTGTTTTGGTTTACAGGACAGCTAATCTAATGGTAATATGTAAAATTTGGCTAATTGCCAGGTTATATTTTGCTACATTGTGGGTGACAGCCAGTTGCAATCATCCAGTGAGGCATACCCTGAAATGGACATTAACTCAGTCAGAGTGGTTCATGATCACATCACTCAGGCAAAACATGGGTTTTAACTGCTCCCTCACCTAATGATCATCCGATCAGACATTTCCAAAGGAAAATTCACCAAGGTTGCTGTGTAGTCTGGAAAATTTGTTCTCAACTTTGCGATTTGCAACAAAAACTCCTCCAAGATTGTCACATTACAAGATCAGAAGGAACAGAAGCAAGATTTGGTTATTTGGGTCCATCAAGCCAGCTTGGCCAGTTGATTAGGTCATGGCTGATTTGGTTTTGGTCTCAACTCCTCAGTAATCCTTTCTGTCTCTTCTCCATAATCCTTGACAAATTATCGATTAAAAATCACCCTCAATCAGGCTTCAATATATTCACAAATCCACATCCCACAGCTCTCTGCAGAAGAGAATTCCAAAAACTCATACTTTCCAAGAAAATAAATTATTCCTCATAGAGATAACAAGGTGTAGAGCTGGATGAACACAGCAGGCCAAGCAGCATCAGATCAGCAGGAAAGCTGACGTTTCGGGCCTAGACCCTTCTTCAGAAAATCCTGTTCCTCTGATGCTGCTTGGCCTGCTGTGTTCATCCAGCTGTACACCTTGTTATCTCAGATTCTCCAACATCTGCAGTTCCTACTATCTCATTCCACAAAGTCTTTCCACTTAAATCACATTCTGCTCTGTCCAGCCCGCCAAAGTGGAAACCCCATATTTTTCCACATTACACTTCATGTGTTAATTTGTTACTCATTAACATAATACATTTATAGCCCTTTGTAGTCACCTTGTATTCTCTTCAATTTGCTTTCCTACCTATCTTTGTAGAATCAGCAAATTTGGCTACAATACAGCCTGCCCTTTCATCCAAGTCATTAATATAGATTGTAAATTGTTAAGGCTCAGCTCTGATTCCTACGACACTCACTAGTTAGTGTTTGCCAGCCCGAAATGACCCAAGTATCACCATTTCCCAAAACTCTAAAATGATATCACCCTTAATATCATAAGCTCTTATTTTGTGCAGTAACCTTTCATGTGGTACCTAATCAAATGCCTTTTTGAAATTCTCTGCATGCCTTGGTTCCCTTTCACTATCCTGCTTGTTATGTCCCCAAAGAGCTCAAAACATTTGACAAGTTTGAGTTTCTAGGCTGGCACACTGTCTCACAGTATGAGAGACTCAGGTTCAATTCCACCCTTGGGTGACTATCTGTGTGGAGTTTGCACATTCTCTCTGTGTCTGTGCAGGCTTCTGCTGGGTACTCTGGTTTCCTCCCACAGTCTAAAGATATGCAAGTTTGGTAGAGTCAATAAATGTGACTTTCCTACTCCTTGGATGCTGTCTGACCTGCTGTGCTTTTCCAGCTCCACATTTATTGCCTCTAGCTTCCAGCATCTGCAGTACTTAACTGTCTTCAAGTTGGGTGGATTGGCCATGCTAAATTACCCATAGTGTTCAGGGCTGTGTAGGTTAGGTGCATTAGCTATGGGAAATACAGGGATAGAGTAAGGGGGTGGGACTGGGTGGGATGCTCTTCAGAGGGTTGGTGTAGACTTGTTGGGCCGAATGGCTTGCTTCCATACTGTAGGGATTCTATCTAACCAACACAGGCAGAAGTTGACATTTGGATAATTAGCCCCAGGTCATGTCTGACCAATGTGGAAACGTGACAGGAGGTTTTACACCTCGCTCATTTGGAAGGCATTACAGTCAGTCACCTCTCTGGTTGCAAAACTATTCCAGTTAATATCCTTAACCATTTCTAATATTGACAACAGTCGTGAGAACATTATTGTTTATACATGAAAGCAAAGTGTTCATGTCAGATCTTTAGAAACAGGAGGAAGATTTTCAGATAACTAGCTGACTTGAAATATGTTTGGAAAACACTGAATTAAAAAAGCCATGCAATAGTTTGGATAACTGTAAAGTCACATTAGAAGTCCCCTGGGAGATTCTGTGGACATTGACAGCCCTCAGAAACTCTTTGTGATTCACAAGTTTATATAAGGTTAAAGTTGAATCAGAGATAGTAGGAACTGCAGATGCTGGAGAATCTGAGACAACAAGGTGCAGAGCTGGATGAACACAGCAGGCCAAGCAGCATCATCGGAGCAGAAAGGCTGACGTTTCGGGCCTAGACCCTTT